ATAAGACAGCAAGTCAGTTCCCGTTGGCTCGCTCGTAGGACAGAAAGAACCGGCAGTACCCATTGGCTCTGACACACAACAGAGCGAACCAATAGGAGATAAGAACAGGATAACTTGCATGGCCCTTAGGAGGACCGGTTGTGTTGGTGTAGGAGAAGGCAGGGAAGAAGTTTGTGGCTATGTTGGGCAAGGAAAAAGGGATGATGGGAGGGAAGTTGGGGGGGGGCGTAGGCATGTGGTTGGGCCGGAGGGGCAGAGGTAGCGGAGGGAAGCCGGGACATCAGGGTGGAGGCTTAGGGATGATGAGCGCAAGGAGAAGGCAGAGTTTGTGCCCTGATAAGGGCAGTGCGAACGGACCTGAGTGGCCCAGCCGAGAACCCAAGCGCTATGCCTTCACGCACGCACGAACTCACACGGCTGGGGCCACACGAGCGCACAGAATGCGTCCGTTGTAACGCACGTCGTGACGTCCGTTGTCGAAATAAACAAGAGAGGTGAATGCTACGCTTTCTTCTGGCTCCATTGCAGACAAAAAACTACGCACCGCATTCTGCAATTATGTGGTGTCCTCAGCAACGTCCGTCATAAAGTACGTTCGTTGCAACGGACGTACTTTATGCTCTCGTGTGGCCCCAGCCTAAGCGGAAGAGGTTTGCTTGTGAAGTTAACGGTCGCTTACCCTAATCAAGAAATTCTCCGCAATTTATGTAATCCAAGAGTTTGTTGCCGTGTTCACTAGAACCGGTCACAGGCCCTAACCCATAAAGGTAAAGATGTCCTTATGCTTAACTAATTAAGCACTAAGCTACGAAGACATATGGGGGAGTCGATTTATAGGGCCATGTATTCTTGACATCGACACTAGTTGGAGGTGTGTGGTCAGCTTCACGCCCCGACCGCTTTACCGACGTGAAAGAGCCCCCGCTACCCACTGCATAAGAAGCCGGGTGGGTCCCAGAACCGACTTGGATAACGTGGAGAGAAGAGAAATCTTGCCTCAAACCCGGGACTTGCAATCCGACCCCTCGGCCGTCAAGTCCGCAGTCAGACGAAGCCAAGCCGCACCCTCGCGGCCTATTCATTTAAGGTCAGGTTTTGTCCGCTTCGTCTCCTTCGGTGTCTTTTCACTTTACGAGGCTGTCAGTAGCTCGCTGCATGGCGCAGAAAGACAGAATGACTGATGAACTGGAAAGAATTTGGAAGGAAGCGTTTGTGGCCTAATGAAGGTACTATTGCGGCATGTGCCTAGTGGTATGGAGGAAAACCACGTCAGGATGTTCACTGCCTCGTTTGAGATTCGAACTAAACACTCCCCGACTATTACTGCAGAGCACCATCGACGGACCAACTGTTCGGATTCACTGAAGTGATTGCAGTCATAATATTTTACGAAGATCGTAAATTATTAACGTTTTCAAAACGAATCCAAGCTTAACAAATGCAACGAAATAAACAAAAGCCAAATTACATTATTCTGTACATTAATACATTGCTGAAACGATTCGAAAGTTGTGGGGAACAGACTTCAATCTTGTGAAAAAAATAAGCATTAACCTCATATCGAAGGAAAGTAAATTAAAGGAAAACATCCGACCATAAGCCGTATTTAGAAGGGACGTAGAATACAAAGAAGCATATAGCCTGGAGGCCTACTTAACAGGTAAAGGCAAACGTAATTTAATACGAAATGAAATACATGTACGATATCTAATAATGCATCACTGACATTGAGACAAAGGTAACTACAAGCACAATACAGACAAGAACCGAATTACAAAGATGAAGTCGAGTGCGAAACAAACTTGATATCGAAGTTCAATAAACATACAGCCAATTTCATTATTGCAGAAGTGATACTGGTTGAGAGGAACAAGGCATACGGAAAGCAGAAGTCGGAGGTAACCTGAAAATGTTCAAGGAACCTCCAATGGTGCCTCGTAAGGCGTAAATTCCCAACAATTGTACAGTCACTTCTTACGACGTTTGGCAAATTCTTTGCCAAGTACAAATTCTCTTGCACCGAGTAGCAGAGCCATGTTCCTATAATTCATATATCTAGTTCCAAGATATAATATTAATCTTGAGAAGATAATAGTTGCTCAGATAATTATTGAATCGGACGTTCCAATGCCATTTGCAAAAATCCCAGCATTGGGCACTCTTCTGAGCCAGCTAAATCCAGCCCAAATCCTCGAAATATATTTATTTATTATTTAGAACTCCCATGCGATCATTTTCCTTCAGATTTTCAGGCAAAAATTTTGTATGTATTTGTTAGTTCCATACACGCAACGTGTCCCGTCTATTTCGCCCTCTCTGATTTGATCACCTTAATGGTGAACAGATATTGCGCAGCTCTCGTGATATTTTTCGTAACCATCTGTTGCTTCTTCTTTCTTAGGTCCAAATATTCTCCTCAGTACTCCCTTTTGCAGCGTCCTTAAATCTATATTCTCTCTTTGGGTGAAATACCATATACCACACAACCATACAAAAGAGGTATACTTTATGTTTCGTATGGCATGTTTCTCAACTCTAGAAGTGCTGACAATCGAAACCTTAAAATTTCAGCAGCCAATCCATATTAATCCAGGTCGGGACGTGGAGCCTGCCATTTCATCCGAGTTTCTATATAAGTGTTCTAGACTTTACTCACTGTTCGGATAAGCAAGACTAAACACGAGTATGTTATATCCAGGAGCCAGCTTACACTTCAACAGATATACAGACTGTTAAAAGAAAAGGCTACAGGCTTTGAAAGGTATGGTACTCACTCACATGAGCAAATGAGTCCCAGTCAACGGATGCCCAGAAGCCAGTGGGTGCGAGTTCTGACCTGGATAAGATATAATCTAGCGGGGCACGCGGTAGCGTAGTTGGTTGAGGCACTATGTTACAAGCCGGAAGGTCGCGGGTTCAAGTCCCGATGAGGTCATTGGATTTTTTTGGCAACGCCATAGTTCAAGCGGTTAGTCGCTGGTTTCCCACCGCGGCGGCCCGGGTTCGATCCTGGGTCTGGCCAAGTGGGATTTGTGGTGGACAAAGTGGAGCTGGGGCACGTTTTCTCCGAGTACTTCGGTTTCCCCTGCCAATCTTCATTCCACCAATTGCTCCACAATCACCCTCACCTCTCATCTGGGGCTGGAACAATAAGCCAGAAGTGGCCGCAGTACAAGGGACTTAGTCCCACCCCACTAGCAATAATAAAAAAAAAAGATAATCCAGCAGTATGTTTCCTTGCCTTTCCCTTCCATGTGCTGTGACTCTCTCAGTGACAGGTAAAGCTGTTTCTATGCTTAATTAATTAAGCAGCACGCCATGAAGAACACATGAGGGGTGGAGGTACAGCTCCACCATTCTTGACCTCGGCATTAGATGGAGGTGAGTAGTCAGTTTCACGCACCGAGAGCTTTACACCCGGGGGAAAAGCCGCAGTAACCACTGGGTAGGAGGTTGGGTGGACCACAAAGCCGGTCTGGACGTTATGGAGAAGAGAAAAATCTTATCCTGCTGGGAATCGAACTCCGGCCATCCATCTCCTAGCCCGTCGGACTGTATCAGTAGACTCAGTCTGCTAATAAGGAGAAAGTAGTGACAGATGCTGTTGCGATAATCTTCCGATTTTAAATCCATTTAGTGGTTTTTTAATGGAACCGTATTACTCGGCTCGGGAAATGAGAGACATGCATTTCAGGTATGGCCGTCCCGATGGAACTTCTCGGGAAGCATGTCGCCGCTTTGCAGGACATTATCCACCACACAGGAATCCAATCCCACAAATTATTCACCAGACTTCACCAGCGACTGAGCAAACCTGGGTCCTTTGCTCCGTCTCTTAATGCATAATGCAGTGTTATATACTAGCATCCAGTCAAATGCAAAACTCGCCCATATCTCATGAGGCACTGACCGGGCCTGCTTTGCCCATTTGTATGAGTATTATACCCCCTAAGGTTGACCTTGTATATTTTATTACGGAGTTCTGACCTCCGATTTACAGCGCTTTTAAGCTTTGCAATTTTGGACTGTCCACCTTAAATTGCTTCATGATTTACCAGTTCGGTGGCGCCTTCCATTTCAGAATTATCGCTTTCTGACAGTACCTGTAATACTGCGCCCATATAAAATCTTATCATATGCATTAAATATGAATATATGCATAGTTCCTCAGTTCTCAGTATGTAAAAGTAAAGGTATCCCTATAACAGGCCGTGGAGGCCCATAGGGTTGTGAGATGTTGAGGTTCCCACATTTTCTAGACAATCGGCTCAAAATGGCGGTAAGGTTGTCAGCCTTACGCGCCGGCCGCCCTTTACCCCCAAGAATATTCCTGGTACTCATTTCTGTTAGAGGCTGAGTCGACCCCAGCGCCATAGTGCGGCTGGAAGGATTAGGTCAACGGAAAAAATCCAATGACCTCATCGGGACATGAACCCGCGACCTTCCGGCTTTTAGCTACGACACGCCTCAGTATGAGGAGCTTAAATTAAATTTAGTTAATTCTGACTTTTAGCTGCACCATTTTAATTCTCTTCCGAACAGCATTAAATTAATACAACATATTTACAAGCATGGTGTCCTTAGTCAACTAACGCCCTTTGTAGTTATTTTGGATTTAATCACTTCTTACTGAGCAACAAAGATTGATTTTAGAATAAATTACGAATGGGCCTATTAAGCTAATCGAAAATTTACTTAATGAAGGAGAAATTTTACTGATAGGAGTTTAATTATGGGTTTCCAACGAATTGAAGAGATACGAAGTTGTTCAAGAGAAAGAGAACGAGCCTACAATTTTACGGGGAATCAGCATGTTACAGACCGGGGTTCCTAAGAATCATATTACGTCTGCTAGCCACTTTAACACATTCTCTCCCGGTCTCGCAATAGACTTGCTCTGTGGGCACTTCGTGAGCACAATGGCGGGGTCCTGTCCTTGGCAACTGCATCTCTAGGGTTATCGCTGTACAAACAGAATACAACATATAACAGCCACGTACCCTGTGTGTCACTTGCAGGCGCCCCATTGGGGGCGACACTACCAGGAAGATTCTCATGGTGGCCCGCAGGAAATCATCGCGGACCGCCGGGTCTGATGACGTCATGAAGGCTGACATCTTCTCGCTACTGGGGGCGGCAGCTGCAGCAGCGGTGGAGGGAGTTTTGCCCCGCACCCGACGCCTGATGGAGCCAACGAGGCGCCGCCACTCGTGAGGCAGCTGTGACGTGGCTGAGAGGTAACAATCCTAGTTAGCGGTCCCTACCTGCCTCTTGGGGAAACTATTTGTGTGCATGTCGGTAAACATTGCCCTGTTAATCTGTGTTCGACACTGCCTTATGGATATATATATTTATTTAGCACTCCTGAATCTTTTCTTCCAAAGTTTGCGGAAGAGTGAATCTGAAAATACATATTTATATAAGAATATGAAATGTATACAGTGTAGATCAAGGGGATCTTAAAAATAATTTAAACCCGATAAGTACGTGCAAAAAATGTACGAGCTTTACTGCGTACTCGTGCTCAATCGCTTGTGTTTCAGTCACTTTACCGAAACATTCTTAAGCTGAACAAACATAGTGCATATTGTGAATCTGTACCAACAATAGTGTTTATAGATCTACAACAAAGTATTAGAAATGACACTCAAACCAAATTGTGAACACGTGGAACTACAGATTCTGAATAATGTGACATTGAACCAGCGTTAGCTCTCATTAAATGCAAACATATGGATAAGACCGCCTCTGTGGTCTATTGGTCAGAGCTCATTACTACAGATCCAGAGGTCCCGGGTTCGATTCCCGATAAAAGATTTTTTGAGAAATAGTGGGTCTGAAACGGTGTCCACTCAACCTCGTCAGGATAACTGAGGAGCTACTTGAATGGAAAAGTAGCGGCTCCGGTCTAGAGAACCGAAATTAACGGCCGTGAGGATTTGCTGCGCTGACCACGGGACGCCCTCTATCCGCTGAAGTTGGCACTATTATTTTTTTTATTGCTAGTGGGGTGGGACTAAGTCCCTTGTACTGCGGCAACTTCTGGCCTATTGTGCTAGCCCCAGATGATAGGTGAGGGTGATTGCGGAGCAATTGGTGGAATGAAGATTGGCAGGGGAAACCGAAGTACTCGGAGAAAACCTGCCCCAGCGCCACTTTGTCTACCACAAATCCCACTTGACCAGACCAGCTGTGGGAAGCCAGCGACTAACCGCTTGAGCTATGGCGCGGTCATAAAATTGGCACTAACTTCGCCGACAAGCGGCGGTCGTTCAGTCGGTATAGTTCGCTTGCGGAGTAAAGCCACGGAGATTGTTTTGTATAACATAATAAACTTATCAAACTGCTGAATATTTAATTTCGTTGAAATTTTCTGATTTTCAGGATAATCCGGGCTGCGGAGCGTGTGACGCTTGTGGTAGCACATGGATAAGAACTACTGCTCACATAAAATAAGTTGCAACTAATTTCTTGCTTATAAACACTACGGAATATAAACTGAAGTATGTTGCAGCCTTCACGTCTACTGTGAATTTTGACTCAAAGACTCGTAACTTACTTTCTGTACTGAGTTGTGTTCTGTCCTCAACTATGCTCCCCCTTTCAAGTAGCACAGTATCAATCCTCCCTCAGTGTAATGTGGTAGAGAGGGGAGGATGGTCCAGGAAATACTGCTAGTAGTGCACACAAGAAATTCAGTTCGCCAGAAGTTAAACTAGGCGAAGAAAAAAAAAACACTTATTTTTGTGTCGCAAAAGCTACAGTTTAATGGCCATGAGGAGCCGCATAAAATTAGTCTTGCCTGCATTTTCCCGAGCCTTCGGAACATTGATGGACTCTCCATAGTCTCTCACGATGTCTATTATACTAACAAATTATACAAAAACAAAAGAACATAATTACTTTCAGACGGCAAGAACCATATTAAAATTAAACAAAAAATTTTGTACATTTTAAAAAACAAAAGAGATAGCAAAAGTTGCAACTTTATGGACAAATAATAATGTGAGACTTAACGTTCTCACAGCGATGATCACTCTGAAGGTGGAGGCCGCACGTTCCTTCGAAACATCGGTAAACATCTGTAGGACTGGAACATTTCATATCCCAAATGATGGCAAGACAAAAAAAAACCTCCATGGTCTTAGTCCGCAAGCGAACTATACCGACCGAGCGACCGCCGCTTGTCGGGGAAGTTAGTGCCAACTTTTGAGGATAGAGGGTGTCCCGTGGTCAGTGCAACGAATCCCCAGAGACGTTAATTTCGGTTTTCTATACCGGAGCCGCTACTTCCTTGAAATAGCTCCTCAATTAACCTCAGGAGGCTCAGTGGACCCCGTTCCAGACCGACTACTTCTCATAAAATCTGGTAGATTCGTAGCTAGGAACTCTGACCACTAGACCACAGAGGCGGTCAATCAGCAGCAGTCTTCAGGAAAATTATTTGCTTTCATCTTGCAGAAGCGAAATATGACGTGAAAGGGAGAGATTTTCATTCAGCTGTACGCCTAGAAGAGAAGCAGGGTCAGTAGCACTCGATAGGCTTATACATATACAGTAAAACTTGGTTATAGCAACATCGGTTTCTGCGACACCTTGTCTATTGCGTCAAATATTCAATGGTACGAACTAATTCCTCATAAAGCAACTGTTTTTATACCTTGCTTAGTACGACATGCACAAATGCATCAACCTCGTATGTAACGTCATTTTCATTCCTGAATTTCTGTGATATGGACATTGAACGTAATTTAGAAAGTGTGTATTGGGCAAGTAACAGGAAACAGATGAAGATAACTGATTACTGTACTCGTATCTAGGTACAGTAAGGCACAACAATTGATGTAATCTACTGTAATTTGGTGAGTAGGCCTACCTTTAATATACAGTATTAGTGCGGTGTGTATTGTCAGTGAAAAGCGCTGTAATATGTCTTTGATATTACACATTTGGGCAATTCCACGTTAATGTTACGTTAATCTGTACTTAACTACGTATTTCACTAAAAAATGCAACATTTTAACTCGGTTTTTGGTAGATTTTTACGTGACTAACATAAGGCTACTGTGGAAGTGCCCATTTCGGTTACAACGACATTCGTTTATAACGACACTATTTTTAGGTCCCTTTGATGACGTTATAACCAAGTTCTACTGTATTAGGATTAAATTATTTTTAATTGTCTGAAATGAGGTAAATCCACGATCTTTGTGCAAAATGGAAACATTCAGCACTATCTGAAGACAAACGCTTCTTTATTGGAAACAAATATTTATTACCATATGCAGAGGATATCTGATATCCTAGATAATTCAGCCGTGTTCGAAAGTAACGTAAAGTAACTGAAAAAAGTGCATATTTCTGCGTCACTCTGAATAACCAATAAAGAGAAAATCTTCTTATACGAAACTGAACAAACTGGATTAAAGCGCGAAAATATGTTACGTATAAAGTATTGATCTCTCTATTTGAAAGCCTGTTACTGGTGTTAGCACTTTGTGTTAATTTGTTACCAACTGCACAAATAATATTTCCACAAGAGAAAGCATTCCCTCGTCAGCTATAACATTTACTCAGTGTTGCTTCAGGTGTAACTTAATTGACGAAAACTAACATTTAGATCAACTAGGGTAGGTTTTCTGGTTCTAAAATGATCTACACTTTGATCAGTGTATTTAGAAAATGGATCAAATCTAAATTCGGTTCGTGAAAAGTGAATCGTGAACTGAGATTTAAGCTTAACTGGATTGCGGTATTCCTTAGGTTTTCTTCTTTTTTTTTCTAGTAAGGCAGGTAGAAATAAAATCTCCCCGACAGTCCATAGACACAATATTTAAACACAAACCGAATTTATATACAGTGTGAAACACTATACTGAGTTTTGAAAACACACGCTAGAGAGGTCTGAAATTCATTACATCACAAACTAAGCGAAAATGTGGCCGATATATTGTCTTTAAAATATTAACCTTGAGATTCAGGGTTGTTTACTTCACCTACCCCATGGTGTATTGTTACCGCTGCTGCTGCTGCCGCCGCCATGTTGTCCAGATGCTGCTACTGGTGTGCTACCGCCATTACCAGAAGGCGAGATATCACGTGAGCCAGCTGCGGCGCTACTAGCGCTGCCTCGTCTCCTCGTGGTCGCAGGAGTAACTTTGGGACACGTCTTCAGCCCCAAGCCAGAACGAGCAATCTTGAAGGAATTCCGTAGTCCAATTATCACAAATCTTTCCCCGATCACTTCCGAACACAACCGATCATTGAAGAACAATTCACGGGCGATATGGACGGAAATGAGTGCGACGGTTGTAGACAGTTCGTTTCTGGATGGTGTTCGCTTATCAGGAAATTGGTGTTTTCCAGTCACAGAGAAGAAATAACGCAGTCCATAGATAGGATTCTTATCTGATACAAATTCATGCAATACCGAACTATACACAGTATGTTTGAGATACCAAATTAGTCTTAAAAACAAATAATTTCGTTGCACATGTAAGAGCGTTCCTTCTAATTTCTTTTAAAAACCAGTCTCTTTTCTATTAATGAACAGCACACACTGAAGAGCTACCGGGATACACAGTCAGTATAACGACTGGCTATGGGTTGGAAGACCGAGGGGTCGGGCTTCGAATACCGGTAGAGTCAAGAATTCTCTCTTCTCCACGTTGTCCAGACCGGCACTGGGGTCCACCCAACCTCCTATCTAATGAGTATCGAAGGCGCTTTCCCCGGGTAAAAAGCGGCCGGGTCGTGAAGCTGACTGCTCACCTCCAGCTAGTGCTGAGGTCAAGAAAGTGTGGATCTATACATCCACTCCCCCATACGCCTTCATGGCGTAGTGCTTAATTAGTTAGGCACAGGGACAACTTTACATTTTACACATTTTTGGACATATGTCAATAAGAGTAGACAGGAAAAACTGAAAAAATAAAGTTCAAAATCTTGAAACAATTTACATAAGTGGGCATTCCAAATTCATGGCAACTGATATTATGCTAATATATACACAGGGTGTCCCAAGAGGAATGTGCCAGACTTCGGGAGGGTGTTCCTTTTGTTAAAGTATGCCGATATAACCCAAAACACCTATGTCCAAAGTTTAATGGTTACGGAAATAATGGCCAGAGAAGTGTGAAACTTTGACAGGTGTTACACACTTGTTGATTACCAAATACATATTAAAACTGGCAGGAATATGTGGTTTCTGTAAGGTTAATAATGTACAGAGGATGGACAAAAATATGGACACCTCGTGAAATGCATGCCTGAATTGAAGTGTTTATTTTAGCGACGTTTGTAGGTCACGCTGCCGTATCTGCCCAACACCACTACCTCTACAACCTCCGCAATACGTTGCAAGCTTCATTTGTTGTCGAGACAGTGTTCTGTGCAATTTTTTGTGCATCACGTCAGAGCTAACAGAATTCGAACGCGGGCAACTTGTTGGGGCCCATATGGTGGGTGCTTCCGTAACCAAGTTAGCCGAGGTTTTTGGTGTTAGTGAGGCACAGTATCCAAGGTTATGACCACATACAGGAGGACTGAAGAAAACCGCATCCGATAAACACCAGCGTGGACGGAAATGTGTGTTGAGTGATCGAGACAGACGAACATTGCGTAGGATTGTGACGAAAATTAGAAGACTACAGCTGCAAAAGTGGCTGCTGAACTGAATGTCACGCTCACAAACCCTGTCAGCACCAAAACAGTACAAAGGGAACTCCACAAGCAGGGTATTTCTGGACGAGCTGAAATTCCAAAGCCACTCATCAGTGATCAAAATGCCGCCAAGAGGAGAGTGTGGTGCCGAAATCATAAAACCTGGACTATGGAGCAATGGAATACGGTCATTTGGTCGCATGAGTCCACTTTCACACTGTTTCTGACTTCTGGCCGATTTTACATCTGGAGAACGCCATCCCAAGCTTATGATCCAGATTGTTTGCTGCCAAAAGTGAAACATGGTGGGGGTTCGATCATGGTATTCTGCCAGACCCATCATTACCCTGCAAGGTCACGTCACACGACTATGTGACCATTTTGGGCGACCAGGTCCATCCCATGGTGCAAACTTTGCTCCCTAATGGTGATGTCATTTACCATGCCAACAATGCCTGTGTTCACATAGCTCACATCGTCCATGACTGGTTTTATGAGAACGAAGATGAAGTGTCACGTCTGCCATGGCCCCCACAGTCGCCAGATATCAATAATACTGAGCCTTTGCGGTCTGTTTTGGAGAGCAATTTGCGTGTGCGCTATCCACCTCCATCATCGATAACAGAACTTACCAGGTTTTCCAGGAAGAATGGTATAAGATTCCCTTGCAAATCATACAGGACCTCTATTTATCCATTCCAAGGAGACTGGAAGCAATTCTACAAGCCAGAGGTTGTCCTACATCATATTAGTCACGGTAATGTGTTTTTTGTTGGCTGTTTCCATATTTTTGTCCATCCCCTTTACGTAACATCAAACTAACTTGTGAGTGACATGAAGCCATTAAATTGAACTACAAAAATACTCGCACGCCATGTCATAGTTGTCCTTATGGTTCCAAGGACTATACATGACACATGAATGGCAAGCGCTGACGTAACATGGCTGACTGCGCATTCTGGTATAAGCCGACTACATAACTGTACTAAACATACGATCACAGAAAATCTCATTTGGAATTTCGTTACCATCATCTGATGTGGATTATTATGGGACCACGTATGCACATTTCGTAAATTATTTACACCGTCCCGGGTAAAAGACGCCTCATCACTGAATAAAATGACGCTTAACAGTTCGAGATGAGCTTTTATCCAGTGGCACAAATCCATACGCTGAGCATGGTCACCTGGTTCCAGATGTTGTACCCTTTGATCATGGTAAGGATACAACTCTTCATCATGTAAAGTTCGCCATACCTGCATACGTGATATGCCGATGCGAGAGGCCATTCTACGAGTGGACAGATGCGGACTCCTCTGAACCATCTCAAGAATGTTCTCTCGTGTGTTTCTCATTCGTACATCCTCCCTTTCAGAGCGCACAGAAACACTCGGAAGAGAACCAGTATAAAGCAATGTCTGGTGAATTCGCGTAAATACACTTCGACATGTAATCTTTCGATGGGGAAAACGCTTTTGGTATTCTTCAACAGCAGCACGTGCATTGCCACCGCAAAATCCACACACAAAATGCATATCACAATATTCCACGTGTGAAAACACAAAAGGCATTTCAGCAACTCCGCACAATTAACCTACCACCCATACAAAACGCGGCCGCAACGTATCCTGAGGGGAGCACATAAGCTTACGGCTAGTGTGAATCACCACACTCAAGGACAAACATAGATAAGACGTGTCAGCTGACAGGTATAGTGCGTGGACCCACCAGAAGACCACACTTTTCTGGGGCCATTATCTCCGTAACCGTTAAACTTTGGACATAGGTGTTTTGGGTTATATCGGCATATTTTAACATGAGGAACACCCTCCCGAAGTCTGGCACATTCCTCCTGGGACATCCTGTATATACATATATTCCACTTACCGTGAAGGCTAATTCTCAAATAGAATTGTTGTCAGACGTCAGTAATGACAGATGACCACAATTCTATTTGAGAACAAGCCTTCACGGTATACGGAATTTCTAACTTTCTTATATGATTTAATACGAAAGGAACGTTAATTGGATCCAATGTAATATACAGGAGTCAAACGACCCACAGCGGAGCCTACATGACGGTCGTCATGTTGTTCCTTCGCTAGGGTCAAATTTCGTGAAAATGTAACGAATATCAGCTCACACCGCACATGTACAGAGACCCCGCTCGACTATATTTGGCGGAGGGGAGCGGCGCTACAGTGTCTATTCGTCTTTCTGTTCGTCGGTCCGTATCCATCCCTGAAATTTATTTTGGAGCAACTCTACAGGAACTACTGCTCGGGCGGGGCTACTAAAAGAGATATATTGACCCATAACGTCTAATAAGGACTTCCATTTTTTTAAAACTATCTAGCTGGAACGTTAGCACAGCGGTAAAGCATCTGGGTTTCATTCACAGGATTCTTTGTTAGAAAATCGAAACAAGACAGCACCGTTACGCGTGAAAGGAATCAGCTACAGAACTACGTTTAGTGGGGGGTGGAGTCCAGCTTGGCCCACTCGGCACGGCGGCCACTGATTGGCCTATTGTACCTGCCCCGGGTGATTATGATGGAAAATTTTGTGGAATGAAGATTGGCAGGGGAAACCGAAGTACTCGGAGAAAACCTGCCCCAGCGCCACTTTGTCCACCACAAATTCCACTTGACCAGACCCGGGATCGAACCCGGGCTGCCGTGGTGGGAAGCCAGCGACTAACCGCTTGAGCTATGGCGCGGCCTTCAGCTACATAACTTGCACGCTTTCTAAAATAGGCCACGATATATTCTTCCGAATCCTTACCGCCGAACATTCACAATTAGGCCTATCGTTACAAACCATTTACTTTTCGTTGTTTATTATGTCAGTGGTTCAGACTATATAATGTTCAATGGCAACAAAAAAGTAAGGAGAACGGTGAATTTGAAGGCTGTAGAAGGAATCAGTGGCGGTATATTTCTTGGTATCATCCCGACATTCACCCGGAGTGTGTGAGGAAGGCTATCTTAGGATGGTTGATGTAGGATATGAGAGAGTTACTTTAAGACTGGAGGTTTGCAGCCAATCAGTTCGTCTTAGCGTCAAACCCCTTGAGACCCACGACCAGTATTTATTTTTCAACTGAACATTTGCGGTTATAGCCCTTATGTAAAATCCTCTCTAACGAAAGGATGGGTCTGTCGTTTACAATTACTGCTGGCCCTCGTCAGCGCAGTCAATATCGGGTTCGAGTCCCGCGGGACTCATCACCATATTTTACTGTCTCAAATTCGAGACTCCCCTAACCTGGAGGGCCAGGTCCCCGTATTTATATCCCCCCCGGAACAGGGTGGTCCAGTTATACCTCCAGGCACTGGGTTCCCATTTCGTCGCTTCTTACGACTCGCAGGGCTACAGTGCAGGTTGTAACAGCGGTAATTATGAAGAATTGTATCTTCTGGGATATAACACACCTTGCTTGATACCTTTCATGCTGGTTTCTTGCTTGGTTTAATCTCTGACATCGAAGATGGAAGCAACATGTTCCTCCGAAACGTGATTGACTTTCAG